AAGGAAAACTTAACCTCTTATCACTGTGGTGCAAATTGTGCAATTGATCACGGTCTAAATGCCTTCCATTGACTATTGGGGTTATTTTTCAACCTGTTGCTTTGTTTGATCAGCATACCTTTAGCATGTGACACAGCCTGGATCAAGCAGCATGATGGAAATAGTTCTTGCAGCCCAGTCCAAGGCAACACATTTTATAGCGTTGTTACAGGACCGTCTGCATACCAGCATATGTTGGTTTTAGTCCATTTCAAACCATGGAGCTGAGCTTCTCAAAAGTAAGCTTTCAAGATTATATTGTCTCTATTTTTGATCTTCTTTTTAAAACTGTAAATTCTGAGACTGCTACAAAAACTAAGTTCTGCTGAAGGGAACTCAGTTTGAAGTTGGTGTCTTGTCAAATCTGAACTATTAATATTAAGCTTATATCCCCTTTAATTCCTTTAATGCTTGTTAGCTGGGTGGGTCCAAGATGGATTTATCTGGTTTTAGCAGTAAAAAACAACCACGAAGTTCAGGTTTTAATCTAGCTCAGTGATGAGAGGAAAAATCCGGGGTTCTACATCCTGGACTTTGAGCGTTTGTCTATTGAGTGAAAGTTCAGATGTAGGAGATAAAACCCTTATTTTATTTGAGAAGTTTCTTGTTCCTAACAGGAATCCCTTATTCCTTTTTTTTTTTTTTCTGTAGGCAGCTCAGATGCTATCATATAACCTTGAGAGCCCAATACCGAAAAGCCATGTGTCACCTTCTGATAAATTGGGAGGGATTTAATTAAATGAACATACATAAAAGACACATGAATGAGAGATGGCCCAGGAGCTCTTCTAAATTAGCTTAGCAGGAGGAAAAAAAAGAGTGAATCTCCATCAGTAGTCTGAAAGTGAAATAGTGTAAGTGAAGGGCATCGCTTTTTATAATATAACCAAGTAGAATCAAAAAGGTTAAGAAAACGTACAGCATTCCCTGCCTCTGAGTTCTCTAGGTTATTATCATAGGCAAGTGGACTGAACAGAAGGAAATATAGTGCTTATTTAACCAGAAAGAATGAAATTTCACTATTGGTCTCATACAGAAGAATCAAAACCACCAGGTGACTTCTGATGACAAATGCTCAGCTTCTCAGGGTCTGAGGTAGTCCCAGAGGAATAAAGGCAAAAATTCACAACCAATCTCCTGTTTTACATTTTTATACCTGCCCCATTCCAAACAGGTTTTTAGTAATAAAAATTCCTATAATACAACAGAGGTGAAAACCCCTCTTTGTTTGCTCTTTAAAATAAAACGGATAGTGTAAAAAATACCTCAAGATATGTTATTTGCTGTGATTCAAATTGTTTACAGAACAGGGGTTCCAGCAGGCCCTAAAAATTTCTCCAAACTTGTGTGAATCTGGTCCCCGGGAGAACAGGGGTTCAAAGGAGACGAGCTGTTGAAACAATACCAGGAAATGTGTGTACATAGCTAATTTTTTAAATTATATTTATTTACAAAAATGAGCCTTAAACAGAAACATCAGAGGAAAAAAATCTGCTGCAAACTGGAAGTCTTGCGATTCTCCAGCAAGCAGGCTAGGAGAAAGCACATGAGAAAAACCAAAGCATGCTGCTTTTGTTTTGGTACAGGAATTCATTTATGACAGTGAAAGGCAGCAGGCAGAATCCAGCTCAATGCAAATGAAAATCATATATCTGAACACAGGGAGATTTTATCATCTAGGCTGTTTCATGCCTTTATTTTAACAAAGTTTCCCTGAGGACAAGAAAAGCAGAAATCAAACCAACAAACCCCAGAGGTTTCTTTTTTTGTGTGTGTGATGTGGTTTTTAAAATTCAAATTCAGCTCTTAGTAGGCCAGCCCCAAACAGTTGTTTTAATAAGATTAGCTCATTTCAAAATCCATGGTACTATTTTTGGCATCCAGACCAACACGTCTCTGCCCGTTCTTCCCAAGTGACAGTGCTTCTGAACTCTTTCATGTTGTACAGCCACTCTGTGTTGTCCTGAGGATTTTGCTCCAAGGGATGCATCACCTCATCAGGGAGCTGAACAAGTTCTTTGCGCTTTGTCATTATAGAGACAGATTTTGATGGGGCAGCTAATGTTCCCTTGGCACCCAGAAGATTTGTGTGAGATGACAATAAAAGGAGGCAGGAGCAGTAGGGTAGGAAAAGCAGTTCTCTGTTAGTCCTCTGTAAAGACACCAGTGCTTTCTGAGACAAGAGCTGTGGACAGATGGAATTTATCCCATTCACTCTTAATTACAGTGAACTGGAAGCCCTTGTCTCTGACAGAGAATATGCAACATGGGCTGCATGGGACCTTGGAAGATTACCGTATCACTATTATTCTGTGGCTGGCATGGGCAAAAGACAACAGCTAAATATATTGCATCCTTCATGTCAGAACCCTGCACTGACTGTTTTCCCTAGGAAACTGGGACTTCCCTGGCCAGCTTTTAATTATTGCTTCACACAGCCTGCAGCAGTGATGCTGAGGCTGTTACAGAGTGGCAATAGAGTCCTGATGCTAGGTGGCCCCTGACTGCCCAGATCAGTTGTCACCTTTAACAGGTTGGGTCCTGGGGACAGCTGGGACAACTAGGGTTTGATAGGGTGGTTCCCAGAACCCCCCTAGTCTGTCCAAAGTGATACTTGCTCTAGTGAGGCTACAAGAATAAAGACATTCAAAGGTGAATCAGTGCCACTTCTCATCTCTAGATCTTTTCTTGGTCCCACATACAAGCACAGCCCCCTGACTTGGCTTACTAAGCAAATGGCTTATCCAGGGATGAAATTACTGCTGGTCCAACCTCTTCTTAGAGTCTGTAGCTAGAGCCCAGTAGATTGCAGAGTGGCTAATCTTTCTACAGCCCGAATTATCACAGGCAGATCAGATTATGTCTACTTTCCTGGACTGCTTCTTGGCAGGGTAAATAGCCACGTGCACTAATTCATCAGCCAGCTTGGAAACATGGCCTGTACTCAGATGGAGCTGTTTTAAGACAGCTCCCCAGTAGCTTGTGGAAATCTGATCCTGTGATCCTTGCTGACAATTAGCTTGGGAAGAAAAGGCCGACCAAACAACCAGACCTGTTTTGATGTTCTCTATCAGGCATGTGCAGACATATAGTTTGTGTTCGCCTGAAGAGTGGGAGGGATACCTCCAGTTAGACTCTGAAGCACATGCTTGTTCTCTGAGAGCTGCCTTCTTCTGTTACAACTACACAGTGTGGTTACACCAGCACAACAGAACAATTAAAAAGCATGAGATGTAACAAGGGAGACATTTAGAAAACCATCATTTTGTAGTGTCCTGAGTAAAACCATACAAAAATATCAACAAAGTTGTTGTAGCCTTGGCAATTTGCTGCCAAGTGCACAGTGATTGCATGGATTTCCCATGTGAACTCATGTCACAATTTTGTCACTTCTCCACTAGTATCACAACTAAGAGATGCTGAGAAACCTGACCAGCTTAGATAACACACTAGTGTACGCTCTATAAATGCTAGTGGTTTGTCAGCTAACTAACAGAACTGAAGAGAAAAATATTTTTGATTTAGCAGGGAATATCAGGAATTTAAAGGCTTTTCCTTCTCCAAAACAGTGTGAAAACAAACAACTGAAAAATTGTCATGAATCTCAGACGAAAAAAGGTCAGGTTTTTCGCAACTGTTTCATTTGTTTCATGTCAGCAAGGAGATCAAACCACAGTCTTTTCCACTGGTACCAGAGGCAGATCAAGCAACCTGCAGGGTAGACCTAAGAGTGATACAGCATACAGGGAAATCAAAGGAAGCTATTCTCCCTCAGAGGGTAGAGCAACAGCAATTTCATTTGCCCTTCACTGTCATTCCGTTTGCAGTTTCTTTTTCTGTTTTTCAAGAATTGGTGTCCTGGAAAGGCGAGAATCCTGTTCCCCTCTCTCTACACCTGTCCCTAAACAAAGCTTCTCATTCTGGAAATGCCTGAAGACATATGGTCTTCCTAGAGTCAATATACTTATGCTTCTCCTTGACAGAGTTGACCATTACTCAGCCATCATTTGGTTTTGGAGGGGCATCTGCACAGACTTTTGCAGGCTCTGACACATGCCCATGACCAGACACAAGCCATCCACAATTAGGAAGCCACATAGCTGTGCTGACAATGAGAGACCAGGCCAAAATGAATGACAGAAAGAGGTGTAGGAAATCAGGATTTGCTATGCAGCCTTAGTTTCTGTGGCTCAGATTGGAAGACTTCAGAAGAACGTACCCATTTGTTGCATGCATATCAAATAGGCTATGCAGTGGGTACTTGTACTCAGAGACGTAGCCTAGATTGTTAGGCTCGTATTCGGTTTTAAGAATGCACACGCACACAAAAAAAATTTGTGAAAAACAAAGATAATTTTGTGCTTAAAACTGCCAAATGCCATTTCTTTAACAACTGCACTGTTAGTCATCTTACTGGAGATTAAAACAGCCTTGTATGGTCTTAAGCTGGGGTCACATTTCCATAGTCTTCTCCGTAATTTGTTTAAGAGCTGTTTTGTTCATCAAAAGATAGTAAGATAAACCCTAACATGAGTATGTTTTCCCATGATGAGAGAATTTTGAGATGGCAGAGATCTATTATATAATTTACCCCATCTCCCAGCCAATACAGAACTCGTTCCAATAATGTATTTGTCATGGGTTTTTTTCAATGTGGTTTTAAAATTCTCAAGACTGCAGCTAAATCCTTCTTCTGAGTGAGACATTTTTCCCTGATATTCAAGTCAGGCCTTTCCTGCTGGTTATGTTACCTCCACTGTCCATCTTAGGACTGCAGTTCTTTGGCTTTGCCACATGCTACAGGGGTAAGTTGTTGCTAGCGCACTGGAGGAGTAAAGGACTGATGGCTTTGACATTTCTAAATAAGCACCAGGCAAAGAGAGAGTTGAGAATCCAGGTTGTTCTGCAGATTATTTCTCCCATTCTGGGTTTCACACATTCTCTGTTTTCAGCTGTTTTACCTTGTTGATGAGGCTGGGATCACCCGGGCTACTCTCATCATCTTCTGAACTCTTCTGTTCCTCATCTGATGTGACAACCTCCATCGGTGTCACAGAGACTGGGCACACCTTGTAGGGCTCGGTGTAGGCACTGCAGGGAGAAAGAACAGACTAGCTCACTGGTGTTATTCCCAGACACTTGTTACTGCTCAGACATAACATTGCCCAGAGATAACTGGTCAGGGGGCAGGGAATCCCTGTAGACCTGCTAGGCTTGGAAAGCAAGATTTCTCAAGCTTTGGTTTTTTGCTGCCAGGTTCAACAGCAACCATTTACGCAAGAGAAGGATCTGAAAGGAGCAGTGGGAAGTTAACTGAACTGGTTCAAGCTTCCCCAAAGGCTCAGTTCATTTCGGAGCAGAAAATTTATCCTTGGTTGCAACCAAAACTACTTTGTTCCCCTTCGTCAACCCCTCAAAATGGGTGTAATAAAATCATACTAACATCTCAGTGCTCATTAAAAATGGAAGTTAGATATTGTAACAAACAATGGATTTTCTGGGAAAACATCAAAAGAATGAGAAAAGTATAATTGTAATACAAATGGCATCAATTAAGGCACAAGGTACTCAGATCACAGAATCCTTGAGTTGTTTGAAGGGAATCTGAATTTAGCTCCAGAAACCCAGACAAAGCCATGCGTTAAGAGCACTGGATCTGGTGTGTATTACAGGCCTGTGGCTTCCCAGTATTTTCTTTTAGAAAAAAAATCTTTTTTAAAAATTAAAATTGCCAGTGATTTCAAAATCTCCACAAAGCATGACTAGAGGTAGGTTGTCCAGATGGTGCCTGCCCTTTGCCTTAGAAAGGTGTCTTTTATTGCTGATCTGAATATGCCTAGCTCCAAATTCTAGATACTGGATCTTGTTAAACCTTTGTCAGCTGAATTAGAGGCAGTCTTCCAAATTTTGTTACTGTGCAGGTACTCACAGGCTGTATTCACGTTGTCCCTTCATTGCGTTTTTTGTATGAAATAGGTGAAGATCTTAGTGTCTTACTATGTCACGCCTCCTATCATTGAATCATTCTAAAATGTCTGAACTTTAGCCAATTATCCATTAGCATTATCCAATTTACTAACCATTTTAGCACCAGCTTTTACTACCAGCTGTTTTTAGTACTTTTCTTGGTACTGCAACACAAGACTCAACATTCCAGCACTGGCAAAAGAAATACCAAGTATACCAGTGGTAACAGCTATCTATTCTGACCTGACTTTACTGTGGTTTTACATTAAAGGAACATATTAGTATTTTTGGTCACAGTATCATTCTGGGAGCTTATATACAGCTTATACACCACAGTGACCCCAAGCCTTTTACATTTCCAAGGGTAGGTTTCGGCATTCGAAGGGGGAAGGGGACATCGCCCAGCTCACTAGGGATGATCCCAGGCGTGGCATGCCAGGGTCAGGGGTGAGATCGACAGCCCAGCTCAAGTGCATCTACACCAATGCACGTAGCATGGGCAATAAACAGGAGGAGCTGGAAGCCATTGTACAGCAGGACAGCTATGACTTGGTTGCCATCACAGAAATGTGGTGGGACAACTCGCATGACTGGCATGCTGTCATGGATGGCTACAGACTCTTTAGGAAAGACAGGCCAACAAGGAGAGGTGGTGGAGTTGCTCTGTATGTGAGGGAGCAACTGGAATGCATTGAGCT